GCCTCAGGCGGACGTGGTCTTTGAGCAGCGCCCGGGCGCCCGGGCACGCGCCTCCCGAGCGCCGGCGCCCATTTTGCCCGCCCGCAGAGGAGAGCCGTACGCGCGGCCTACATGCTCTGGGGACAGCCCTGAGGCGGCATCGCCGCGCTCCAACCTCTTGAGCCAGGGTGACGTTCTTTTGAAATTCGGTCCTAAGATAGTTAAGGTTTTATTTTATTTTGTTTTGTTTCCAAGTTACGGCCCCTGAATTTTGTACCACTCTCCCTGGACCACTTCCGGTTGCCGGCCCTTGCCTCGTAACTTCGGTTCGGGTGACCTCGGCCCCGGATGCCCCTCGCCTCGTCCCGGGCTCACGTCCCGATCCCGGCTTGACTGGCCCAGGTTGGGGGACCTGGAAGTTGTAGCCTCGCTGCTCTAGAGGCGGATTAATTAGCCCAAGAAACATTATATTCATGTGAGTAACCTCTTGCAGAAGCAGTGCTATACTGTATCTGAAAAAGTATCACTCTTACGCTTGGCTGCTGCTACTTTCTACAAAGGCTTTTAAGTATCTATTTGTTGCAAGGAAGGGGAGTGGGGGACTTGAGGTTTTATCCAAGGTCTGACGTATCACAGTAGTTCTGTACAAGTTTCCTCAGCTCTCCTTGTCTTAATGATACCAGACATGGTGAAATTATGTGTAAAAGTAATTTTCTTTTGACGTATCTCAAAGTCCAGATCTTCCAACTGCCAAGGTTAGGAATCACGTGGATTTTAGGAACGATTCTAAATCAAAGCAAAATATATGCCGTGCCGCCTCCACAGCCCATCAGCGTTTGTTTGTTTGATCTGGTTTTCGATTCCCTGTGTCGTTTTGAAGCCAGGCAGACATGGCAGTACTGGAAAGGGAACATTCCCAAGGTTCTACTTGAAGAGGTGTTGATGCTTTGCTCTTTTCTCCCAAGTCAGTTCCAACCCAGGTCTCCCCACACACAGGGCCCACACCCATAGAACTCTCTGTGTGGTATGTATGCCAGCAACCCCCATTTCTACTGCTTAAGGACCACATGGCACATCTTTCCATGATTAATTTTGATAATGACGAAGCTTGGGAGAAATTTCAAGTGTGCAATTACATTGGACCCATCTAAATTTTCTATTGCGTTTCAGTTTTGCACCATATATTATTTTCAATTACTGTTCATGATTAGTATGCTCTGACCTGATGGGGCAAGAATGGCTGCTCTTCTCAATGTTTAGTGATGGGATATTTTGAGTATAAAGTGCTTTTAGGCATCTTCAAGAAAAAAACAACTTTTGTTTGTTGGCGGTGTTAATCTCATATTCCAGAATGACATTCTCTAACTTTTATAATGCTCATGGCTGCATTTTACAGCTGTAAACGTGTGGTTGGAGTAGGAAAAAACTATTACCATGTATGGCAAGCTTATTATGTGCTAGACAATCTACTAAGCATTTATGTACTTGTATATGTAAACTGCCCCAACTGGACACAGTCTCTGCAGCTTCTTAGCTGTGTGACCTCATGCCAGTTACCCAACTTCTCTGTACTTTACTTCCCTCACCTTTAAGTGGGGGAAATAGTGGTATCCATCTAATCAGGTGATTATTAAAAGATTCAATATATATAAAACACATAGGAAGTGCTAAGTAAGTGCTGACTATTAGGATCAATATGTTCTTTAGTTCTCATTTTACAACTCAGAAAACTGAGATGTAGAGAGGTTAACTTGTCTGGGGTCACCAAGCTAGTAAGTGGCAAAGACAGGACTCATACACAGGCCAGACTGACTCCAGGGCCTATACCCTTGGTAACTTCACCATAGTAATTGGATGAGTTTATTAACTGACTTCAAAAGAAATAAGTGTATTCAACTGATTAATGTTTAAAAACTGTTAAAACACCTGGAAATTAAAGCAAATTATCCTATCTTAAAAAGATACAAAATAATTCATTCTGTAAAGGAAAACAATAATGGTTTTACTTAGATTACTACCTGCAGAAGCGCTTCTATGTTGTATATCATCCATTTAAAACATAATTTACAAAATGCCTAAGAAATAATCTGTCTAAGCCAGTGTGGTCTCTGACTGGCATCGAGGTGACTCCCGTGGGGACAATCTTTTTTAGTGCCTTCATGGATGATAAAGCTATGTAAACGCTTTTTTTAAACTCGTTTGAATTTGCAGCCGGTAGTATTCCTTGAGTTTAGTGGAACAGGTTTAGGTTCTGTGTATTGTGTTGCACCTTGTACCTAAGTTTATCTTGAGGTTTTAGGAGATTTAGCTCAGTTCAAGGGATCCTGAATTTTGTGAACAAGTGACATGTGCACAAATATGTTCTCTAGTCAAATAAATTTGGGAAATGTTAAACAAAATAAAGTTTCTTTACTACCTAATTTGCCAGAGCTTGTATCATGTTAATGTGCTTTATTCCTCTACAAGATTCCCAAACTTATTTGACCAAAGAAAAAGCTAGGGGCAAGTGTTCCAAGAATCACATTGAGGGAAATGGTATCCCATTCATATAACCTTTGATTCTGTGGGCTTCGATCTTAATTCCTCTCAGCCTTTGCTTTTCTCTGCTGAGGATGTTGGTTCATGTTCATATGACAGCTTTGCAGCCCCTTAATCACTGCAGTTGACTTTCCCTGGGCCTGCGTGCTGAGTGGTGGCATACACAAGTTCAGAGTCATGTGCTGTGATTTGTTCCCAGGCTCATCCTGCCAAAGCCCAGCGTGCTAGCCTTTGGGTCACAGCAGCACGTCACGCTCCCTTTCTTCTGAGAATATTTTGTAATGATTCATAGGCCTTTGTAGTGATTCTGAGTACCGTCTCTAATTAGTTTACTCTGTGTTCCACTGGAGTTATTTCCTTTTAATGTCAGTGTAACCTGTAAAATTTTGCTTTTCATTCAAAACAAATTTAAATGTCAGTAATGTTGGTTGTTACTAGGATCTATCTGTGAAGTTGAGATGGTCCTAAAACCCTTAACACTTGGTTTCTACTTAAAAAAAAGTGACCACACTTCTTTTGTGCTGAAAATCCAGACTTGCGTATATTTTATTTTGATATTAACATCAAAATACTGGGTTTTTGTTTGTATCACTCTTTTTGAAAGCCGTGGGGAGAAGGAGAGGCAGAATAAATGTATGTGTTAAATGGGGAAAAAAAGGCTTTGGAAAAAAATATATAGTTATATAATACTGACACCTAGAGAATCAGTTTCTACCTGTGTATATGTGACCTTCATCTGCTTCCCTTCTCTACTCACCATATCCACCCATGCACAGGAATGTTATTTGACTAGTACTTGAGACTTAGGGTGCCCAGTACTGTATCATTCCTGCTATTGGAGAGCTTATAATAATGTATATGGGGAGAGACAGGACTTGTGAAATAAGCAGAACAAATAAGGAGGGCAATTTCTAATTAGAGGCCAAAATGTGAGCTTTAGTTTAGACGTAAATGCTATAGTAATCATAAGAGGCAAGAAGTTTTCATAGAGAAGGCAGGCACCTGCACTGTGCTGTGATAGGACTGAGATAGACAAGGAGGCCTCAGGAGACATTTTTGGCAAGTGAGAAGCAAGGTCAATGATATGGAGCTAGAAATGAGTCTGGAATGTGGAGGAAAGTTTATCACAAATATGGTGGGAGTACTGCTTCCAAGAAATGGTGACAGACAGGATGTAGCAACTGAAGGACATAAAGAAGTCCAAGCAAGATAACTCGTAAGTTTTTAGTCTGCTGGATCAGAAGGGGTTGGGGTTGCCATTGAGAGCAAGGAGAAGGGGTTTCACTTTAGATGAATCTGAAATGAGCAAGACGGGAGCTTAGGATATAACAACTAAAGAAGATGAAGAAGTCCAAGATAACTCGTAAGTTTTGAGTCGGCAAGATTGGGAGGGGTGGTGTTGCCAATGAGAGAAATCCTGATTTGGTTAAGGAGAAGGGTTTTGAGTTTAGGTGAATCTGAAATGAGAGACATGGGGGCTTATGATAATAGGCTCAGAGTCAGATCCGGTCAGCGTACAATGGGTGAAGTAACTGTGATGTTCTTAAATGAGTTGCTAAAGTCAGACCATTTCTTAAGTCTATAAAAGATATTTTCTACTTTCCTGTTAGGGAAGGTCAACTAACAACAGCGTTAAGAAAAAACACAAATCAGACTCAGGTTGTTGTCCTTGGAAAAAGGGCTTAGTTTAGCTCAGTTAGCTCTCTGTGGCTAGCTTTGTCCTGGGCTGCATCATACTGTGTCCCGGCATCCTGGCATCCCGTTTGCTCTTGGCATCCTCACTTGAGGGTTGAACAGCTTCCCAAGCTGTGCTGCAGTTCTTTTCCCACCTAATGGGAATAGGAGGCCTTCGTTTTGCGGGGCAGATCCCCCAGTGCTGCACCTGTGCTCTGCCAAAGGTAGAAACACAGTGAAAAGCACGCTGTGACACTATGAGCCAGCTCCAGCAGATTCCTTCCTGCTAAATTGCAGGTCAAGTTATTATGAGGCCCTGAAATGAGGTACAGGGCTGGGCGGAGGATCCTTATGCAGTTAGGAGGCCAGCCTGCCTTACGCAGACTTTGCCCAGGAGGTGGGATTTCTCTACACCTCTCAAAGGGCAGAGGGACTTGTATGGCCTCTGACTTGGGAAATCAAGAGTTTCAACCCACAACTCTGAGGGGAAATGGGCTCTGATGACATCCTGAAGTGTTAGTAAAATGAAACAAGAACTTAGGTGGATAACTATCATTTTCTCTCATTCAGCTCCGAATCACCATGATCCCCAAAGTCTCTTGCAGCTGAAAAATTCCATGAAGCAACCTTATTTTCCCTAACATGAAAAACCCCTTCTGGAAATGCCCAGCTGCTCTAAGTAAACTGATAAATAGGTCGTTTGCTCTGAAAACAAGCTTTTCATTTCAGTTTAGAAAGCCATGCACATGATTCGACCTTCACAATGTTGCCTTTGAACTGGAAACTGTTTGGAAGGGAGTCTTACATGGGGAAGATGGCATTCGTGTGTCTGTTACACTGCACTCCTGCCCAATAAGTGTGTCCCGAGGCACGCGCCTGTGCATAGCCGGTTGCTGACTGCATTTTGTCAGACACTGCTTTGTGAATGCAGACTTGGGACCACTGCCCAGCTTCCTGTAGTGCTAGTCCTCCATTCCCACAGAACTCCTTCCCTAACCAAATCCTTGAGTGCTTCGTTGTCACCCCGAGGCTCTGCCTGAGTGTCACTTCAGTGTTGTGCATCAGATGTCCTTGGTTCCATTTAGGCTGTGCAAGTAGACAGACATGTGAGGTTTGGTTCTGGTTGGTAGTTGCTAGCACCAGGTCACATTGCTCCCCCGGTGAGTTCATTCAAACCCCAAAAGTCACACCTGTGTCCTGTGCGCGGGTGCTGCAGGCTTAGGTGGAGAAAAGCAGGGCTAGAATTGGAACTCAAAGCCCAGAATGTCAGGAGAGGATGTGGGGCCCCCGCCCGATCACCTCTGGGTTCACCAAGAGGGCATCTACCGAGACGAATACCAGCGCACGTGGGTGGCCGTCCTGGAAGAGGTAATTGCCTACATTTTGCTTCTTTGTTATTGATTTTGCTTTCAAGCAACTTAGTTTCTAATTAGCCTCAATATCCTGAAGCTTTGATTTTATTTTTGATCACTTCTTTCCATTAGGACACGAATTTCCTAAGGGCACGAGTCCAGCAGGTTCAGGTTCCCTTAGGTGACGCAGCTAGGCCAAGCCACCTTCTTACCTCCCAGCTACCTCTCATGTGGCAACTCTACCCTGAGGAGCGCTACATGGATAACAACTCTCGCTTGTGGCAGATCCAGCATCACTTAATGGTACACATGTCGCTTACTCATTTTCCATTGTATCGGGACTCTCATAACAGAGTGCTCTATAAACTTCTCTTTTTCTGACAGGTCAGGGGAGTACAGGAGCTGTTGCTTAAGCTTTTGCCTGATGATTAACCGGGTATGTATTTTGGTTGCTCCCCTGTCTCCCCTTCTTTTTTCACTCTATTTGGTTTTGGTAGTTTTAATGCTCTTTTTTTTTTCTTCCAGGTGCTGGGATTCTAGGAAGACATGCTGCTCTGTTCTGTTCAGTATATGGCAGTCACTTCATCCACCACTGCAGTGCACCCACCTGTGGGCCTGGGGGAGGGAGTGGGTTGACAAACTGCTCAAGAACACAGAAGTTTAGGAAGGGTCATGAAGACCACCGCAAGTGGAACTGCAGAGAGAGGGTTACGCAGGCAGAAAGCACTTAGTCAGGATACGTAACTTGAAATTGACTCCTTTGGAAATTGCCATAGAACCTTTAATGGACATCATCAGCTGGAACCGGGATCTGATGAATCCCACAAAAGTCAGCACCCGCTACAGAACAGATGCTCTGATCACCAAGGACTTGGTACTGGTTTAGAGAGAAGAGAGCAGCTCCTAGCAGCATCAACATCTATTGGTCGCTTATTTGCCCAGCAGCAATTCACCCGCCTTTCCTTCTCCCATCCTGTAAATATCCTAGGTTTTGCTCCAGTGTTTCCCATCCCAGTACTGACCTAACTTGGATCCACTGAGAACTTAGGGGTCTCTGGGGGAAAAAAAGGAGGTTATTTGCATTAATGGAATTAGCTACAAAGGCTCCTGGGCCTTTTTCCTTTCTGAAATTGTGTCTTGAAAATTATTCAAAGTTGCTGATCAAAGTCATGGGCACTTAAATTTATTTTCTGGTTACAGATATTTTAAATAAGTTGCTTTCTGTAAGAGTGCCAAAAACCATTTTAGCTGCTTAACTAGCACCTTTCTCAGGAAGTAATAATAGCACCAAATATTGCTGATTCCTAGGAAAGCATTTACTACCTGATAAAGAATTTCCTGAGTTAAAAGTTATAATAGTTTATGTGCATTAAAAACCTTAGTTTTACTTTCCAAAAATCTTGGGAATAATAGCTACCATGTAGGCATCCTTGATGCCTTCCAGGCACCATTCTATGCACTTTATAACATTTAATCCTCCCATCAGTGCTTTGAGGTAGGTATGATCCCCATTTGATACACAAATAATAAGGAAAAAGGCTCAAGGAGTTTAGTCATTTACCAAGGGTGGTTTTGTGAATGATACGGCCGGGCAGTGGGCAGGCCCTTCAGGCTGCGGCGTCGGCTCCTCTAGCCCGACATTGGTTTACAGTATTCGAGATGAGTTGATTGAATTCAAGGGGAAATTTTTCCATGTAAAGCTATTTATATCTTCCAAATTGAATGAAATATTATAAAAATACAGCTGATTCATCCTATGAATGGGAAGAGTATTTTTTAGTGTAATTGTCCTGCAACAATTGGAAGGGCATACTGCTTGCCTCTGAAGAAAATTCCTTCTAGAGGGGCTTTAAAGTCTTTATGGATAAAAGACAAAATAAAAATCATTTTTCTTATTTTAGTTTTCTGGATATGCTGCAGAAGGATCCGTGCCAGAAACAAGCCTGTGAAATACAGAAATGTTTACAAGGTACTATGTTCAAGGCTTTTTTTTTATGTTTCCATTTTATCTGTGAACTAACTACAAGAGACCAATTGTTCTTTTTATCAGCATGCTACATTAACTCCTCTCAGAATGTACTATTTCTATAATTAACTTATCCTGAAGATTTTCCTCACTGTATGATCAAAGTTGCAGAAAATAAAAAGTAATGGGCAGGGAGGGATCTGGGCAGGAATCCGTCTGAAAAGCTAGCTAACCAGGTGATTTTAAAGTGCAGCTAGAGTTGAAAATTACTAAGCTGAGCAAAATCCTTTTTTAAAAAAGACTAGTTTTAAAATGGGTTGATTATACTTTGTGGCTGACAGCTCACTTTTTAAAAATCAGGTTAGAAGGGGGGCAGGGTTGAAAATACAATTGGATTTAGGCTGCCGAAGTCAACAACTAACTCTTTAAGGCAAAAGTGAATTTTAACTAAAGCATATTTGATGGGATTTGTCCATTTGGTTTTAAATCAGCCAATAAATTGGACCAAATGCCAGAGGATTTTATGTTTTTCAATCAGCAAATGATTATTGGCACTAACAATCAGAAAAAAGCTACTAGACTGTCTGCATTTAAAAATCAACTTTTAAAATCATCATTCCCATTATTGAAGTACAGTAATAGAGATGGATGCCCATGAAAACATAAAAAGGTAGGAAGCAAAAATGTTGAGTTCACTCAAAGACTCAGCACCAAAGAAAACCCTTGCTTGTATACTTCGACTTTTAACTTTCATTCTTGGACTTCTCATTTTACGATGTAAGCAGTATTTTATAAAATATTTTAATCTAAAATGTTAATGTGTAATAATGCCATTTTATTCATCCCTTTCTTCCCTTCCTCCAAATTTAAGAAAAACGAAAAATCTTTTTCACAATCAATTTCATCTCCCAAATAAATTTTTAGCTAATTTGATTAGCAACCTGTGGCTAATGGAGAACCAGAATGAAATTAGAGCTGGTTGCACCCCCTTGCTACTGTGTGGGAGGATTGAGGCCTGGAAGGACTAAGAGAAAGCATTTCACATTCCCTGGATGACAAGCACAGCCGAAAGGGCTTTAAACATAAAAAGTAATTTAATCCTTTCATCCATGAGGTAGATGCTACTGTGACCCCCAGTTTATAGATGGGGAAATCAACACAGGAGTTATGCAACTTGCCCGGGGTCACACAGCTAGTAATGGGTACAGTGAGGACTTGAATCCCTTTGATCTGGCTCCAAGCCTGCACTCAGCCACCCTACTATATTCCCTTACTAGTCAGAATTGTCTTTCCAATTCTGGGCTAACTCCCATGCACCCCATTTTAGTATCGAGGGACTCAGATCAACTGCAGCTGACCTAGAACCTTTAGGTCAAGTGCTCTTTGACTTGGGGTCTGTATATAGCAGAGGTTTGCGTATGTTTTCTGTAAAGGACCAAACATTTTAGGCTGGAGACCAGGAGGTCTTTGTTGGAGAAGGAGAGAGAACAACTCTTTGTACTGTAAAAAAGCATTATTAACTCAGAGCTGTAAAAAGGTGTTGAATTTGACCTTGCGCCTGCAGTTTGGGAACCTCTAAGGCACTGACTTGGTTGGGAAGGTCTACGAGCCAGCCAGCTGCCTTAAACTGTGCAAAATAACATGCACGGTATGTGCATTTTTCTAATTCACCAAATTATGAATGGAGTTAGTGACTCCCCAAAAGGGGGGAGGATAAAAACCCCTTATATGTGCCCTAGAAAAAGGCGCATAAGCTAGTAACAACCTTAAAGAAAAGGAAATTATATACAGAGGGTGCCAAAAAATGTATGTACATTTTAAGAAAGGAAAACTATTAAAATTGTAATAATATATACTGATAACAAAAGATGAAAACAAGTCTTTTGTATACATTTGTTTGGCACCCTCGGTATAAAAATATCTTTTGACCACTTTGTAAATCCCACCTTTCTTCCCAATGAACTTGATGGATCTCTAAATCAGGGAGAATTCAGTGGCCCTGGGTACCACCTCTTTCTTTCAGGTCTGTAGATCCAATAAAGTGAAAAGGAGTGGGAAGCAGTGATGTAAAACTCCCTTTGTCTTAGTCCTGTGAGATCATGACTGGGGTCTGCCTGTCTGTTTTTCAGCCAACAACTACAGGGAATCTCAGTGTCAGGCTGTCATCCAAGAACTTCGTAAGTGTTGTGTTCGGTATCCCAAGGGAAGATCTCTCGTCTGTTCAGGATTTGAAAAAGAAGAGGCAGAAAAGCTGACACTGAAGTCCACAGCCAAGTAAAGTTCTGCCGAGAAGCTCAACGCTGCACCACATTTCCACCAAGCAAGTTTGCTTTATCCTCCTGACTTCAGGCCAGGTAGCAGCAAATATCAAATGAAAAAGTCAACTATAAAAGTTAATAAATATGCCATCTATGCAGAACAGATAGAAATATATCCAACAAAAATGGAGACTGTAATAAAACTGAGCCGCTAAAATAAACCTGTTAAGTGAAAATTTTTGGTTTGGTACTTGTGATATTGTCACTTAGAAGAAATATTATCTTTGGTCCGTCTCCGTTCCTGACACAGAGCTCCTAAAACCCTTTGGGATTTCCTAACTGATAAGAGCAATAAAGGTGGCTTTTTTTACATTAACGAGGTGACTTGGAAAGCGCCTAGGTAACCCTTGGATAGGGGCTGGTTGCCAGGGGAACCAACCACATGATTAGAGGGTTGGAAGTTTTAGTCCCCACCCCTGACTTTTGGAGAGAGGAGAGAGGCTGCAGAAGATTGAGTTCAGTCACCAGTAGCCAATGATTTAATCATGCCTGTACAATGAAGCCTCCACAAAAACCCAATAGGACGGAACAGCTTCTGGTTGGTGAACCAGAATGCACGCATGTGCCAGGAGGGTGGTGCACTTCAGTTCCATGGAGACAGAAGCTCCAGAGAGCAGGACCCTTCTGGACTTGGCCCTGTGCACCTCTTCATCTAGCTGTTCCTATGTGTCTATAATAATTTTTATAATGAACTGGTAAGCATTTCAGTCAATGTTCCTCTGAGTTCTGTGAGCCACTCTAGCAAGTTAATCCAACCCGAGGGGGTGTCTTTGGGAAGCTCAGATTTGTAGCCAGTCAGTCAGAAGCACAGGTGATAACCCAGACTTGCAACAGGCGTCTGAAATGAGGGCTTTCTTGTGGGACTGAGCCCTTAATCTGGAGTATCTGACACTTAACTCCAGGTAGAGAGTGTCATAACTGAATTAAATTTGTAGGACACCCAAGTCGGTGCCCACCGAGAATTAGAGAATTGTTTGGTGTGCTGGAAAAATGTATTTCTTAAAGACTGAAGGAATTCTATAGCATTTGAGTTCAGACTACTAGTGCCATTCATAACACTACAGTTCAATGAGATTGTTGGCTGAAAAGACCCCTCCAGTGTCACAATCGTGACACCTTTCTTAGATGTCATGGTACATTCTAAGGTTTCTCTAACTCAACCCCTTACATGTGTATTTCCAATAATTTAGAGCAAAGTGTCTTCCCAAATGCAGGTAAGAGCATTTCTTTCTGCTTTTGTACCCCCAGCACAGTGCGTAGCCAGAAGGCATGTAATACTTGTTCAGTGAGTAGTAGGAAAGGCATAGAAATGATTCTTGTAATGTTTAACAACCCCTAATCTGTCATAAGAGAACTGAAAAAAAATACTTTATAAAGGCAGGCAGCAACAGGATTAGAATTCTTAGGTGCTTTATCTACTCTTTATATCCCAATAATGAAAGCCTATTACAACTGACCCTGATGTTAATACATGGCTGCCAAATGGAGCCCGTTGAGAGCTATCAGTGACTTCGTCTAGTGGATGGGGGGTGACAGTATCAACAGGCCACTTGATTTCCTCAAACAGGTGTTACAACCACCATAACTCCACTCTGCCCCCCCAAAAAAAAAATAAAAGGATGACTTTCTAAGCAAGAGCATAAACAAACTCTAATAGGTTCCTGTCTTAGTCCATTTAGCTGCTATAACAAAATACCACAGATGGGGTGCCTTATAAACCAGACATTTCTTTCTCACAGCTCTGGAGACTGGAAAGTCTAAGATCAAGGTGCTGGCAGATTCAGTCCAGTGAGGGCCCACTTCCTGGTTCATGGCCTGCACCTCCTCGCTGTGTCCTCACAGGGCACCGGGGGCAGGGGAGCTTTATGGGGTTTATTTTATAAACGCACTAACCCCATTCATGAGGGCGCCACCACCCCATATTCTGATATCACCACCTTCGGGGGTAGGATTTCAACATATGAATTGGGTGGGGGGACACAATCAGTCCCTAATAGGAAGGGCCCTTCCTTGCTTTTTCCAGCTCGAAAACGCCTAAGCTGCTGGGAATGGACTGAGACAGTCCCTGATGCTCAAACACCATTATTGAGACCAAGTGTTCTTTAAAGCAGCATTCCCAAAAGTGTTTCCAAGAATTGCTGTAACGGAAAAGACTTCTGTGTTCAGGTAAGTCTGGGGAATGCTAGGTTAGGCACACATCCATGGGCTTCTTTCCTGTAAGAGTTAAGCCTTTTCATCTGCTAACATGAATTGATCCTTTGGAAAGGACTCTTGTATGCACGAGTTGCCAAAGTGTACCCAGCGAACCCGTTTTGCAGACAGTGTCTCAGGGTGACGGTTCTCCAGAGAGACTTGGAGAAATGCTGCCTTAGAGATGTTTGGTCCAAATACCAGGTTAACCGTGCTACGGTCTCATGAACTCATTTAAATGAACTCATTGTTAATAGTAAAACAATTTAATATTTTTAAATGATGTTTACATCATATACAAATCTAAATTACATTTAAAACTCTCAACTCATAGCGGTGCTAGGACTTACATTACGAATCATTTCCAGGATCAAAGAGATTGTTCTCCTCTGCTTTATTACAAAATTACTTCCGTTAACTACTGAAGTTTCAGACTGTTTTAAATGATTTTTTCCTCTAAAATATGCTACTTTATTTAGGGCTTTTAAAGCTTCAAATCGATTATTCCTTCCTATCTTTAAACTCAGTCCTGCCTCACTTCCACACATCTACTGGCAGGCATTAACTTAAACCTTCTTTTTAGCTAATATTATGATATACAGAAAAATAAAATAGCCACCAGAGAAGCTTAACCTTTACTGAGTGTTTTTTATGTGCTGGGGACCACAATTAACTGCATCTCAGTCTTCAGGGAAGAACTGGGAAGGTGAGAACTATGGTTTCATCCAGCTTTTCAGAGACTATTTATTAGTGATGGTAAGTTTAATCACGTGGTTAACCAGTGACTGACAGACCTCTCCGCTGGAAGGGAGTTTTCCCTCTGTAACATGTGGGGTGATGTGTTGGTGCCTTATGAATATCCCACAACCTTTCACCCAATGGCTTTAGCATCCACTGATGACAAATGCCCCTGCTCTGCCACTCTACTCCACTGTGACTCTGTTGCCTGCACCCACTCTGCAGGATTCCAATAACATTTAATAAACTGTAATATTACACTGTGTTCAGCATCTGAAGTTGTATGGCACTTAGCTTATGTAAAAAGCTTTAAAGGGCCTATTAAGTAGTCACTTTTAACAGAAGTGTAATTTTATTAGCACCAGCTTCCAACTCTGGATTTCAGTGGTTCTCAGCCAGGAACCTATTAGCTGCACATTAGAAACATCTGAGGTATGTTCATAGGTCAGGCTGTCCCAGTGGAACCCAGGCCGGTGAAATCGTCTCTAGGATGAGCCAGGTTTGCAAAATTCGGCAGGTGATTCCTATGTGCAAAGGTGAGAACCACTGCTCTCTAATCCCGTGGCAATCCTTGCCATTTCCAATTCAGAATGCCGTGGGTGAGTCAAGAAGCTTACAGTGTTGTAAAAAAGCGCAACACTGTCAGTTTTCTTTAGAAAAATAGTGCCCTTAAATTTTGCGATTCCTTACATAGCAAACGTCACGGATGTAAACCACACCGTATGATTTCTGGGAAATCAGGTCCAGAATAGGATATATTTTCTGCTCAATTCTCCAAGAGCTCACACTGAGATTGTATAAGTGATTAAGACTTCATGACAAGAAACGAAGCTAATAAGTCGGTGGAGGGAGCAGAGAGGGCAGCAGCCTAATCTTGCCTACAGGGTCTAAAACTGGCCTTATGTGAGTTTCCCTCAGAGGAGAAACAGATCAGCATGACACATTAATGATAGTCAGGAATTTCAAATCCATCCCTATGCCATGGTTTCAACCAGAGATTTACTGTACTTTCCCCGACTATACAAAAGTACACGTTTCAAATAAGAGCCCCTCCGTTAGTCATGTCCATCTTTCTGACAAACGTCCAACAAAAGGATGATGAACATTCTTACAAGAGTTAACTACACAGTAACTGCGTTTCAAAACCACAAGCGCCTGGCCCACAAGTCTGTCAGCTCCAGTTACGTAAGAGTCATTCCTTCAGGAAAAATGAATGAGAGAGGGAAGGAGGGAGAAAGGGGGGATAAAAGTCGGTGGGGAAGGGAGACAGGGAGCATGAATATGAATAAAGCAATCCCTTCTTCTATCTCTGTTATGTGCCAATGTGAACAAATCGCCATTTGGGAATACTGTTAACCAATTTGACTGCTCAGTAAAACATCTGCAACAACAACGAAGAAATGTCCTCCAACTTAATTCACCTCCTGTCTTCTGCCAGCCTCCATGAGGTGGTAACTGCCCAGCTCCAGTAGGGAGTGCTTTCTCCCCAGTGGTAAGCCAGGTGGAGCCAAGGCTGCCCCCCAACCCCCACCCCACTCGCAGCTGGCCTGTGGCTGAAGGTCCTAGGCTGAGTGGAGAGGATGAAGCCAACAAGCCGCCCAGAGGGGCAGCAGGAGCAGTCTTGTTGGTATGTTATCACAATGACAATGACACACGACAATGGGGCTGCTCAGCCAGGGGTCCCCGAATTCAAACAATGTCAGCAATGAGGCGTCTCCTTAGAGAGACTGAAAAGATCAGAGCATTTGTTCCACCAGAACGGGCAGCAGCTGTAAAGCAAAAACGCCCCTGGGTCCCTCTCCCTTTCTCCTCTAACACCAGGTCCCAAGTCTCCATCCTACCCAGTTCCATCGCAGAAGGGACACTAGGTCAAAGGGTGGTCCAGAGTGGCGCGGACGCAGCGGTGAGAGGAGCCAGAGGGGAGAAAAAGCGTCGCAGGCCAGCAGGTGTGAGTGCTTTGTGTGCTCAGGGCCAGAGATTCTCCCAAATGAGGACAAGCTACAGGTAAAGAAGCCCCAAGTGCGGTGATACTACGTCCCCGCCAGCAGGGGACGCCGGAACTCCCAACATGAGAGCAGAACCGTAGGGAACGCGGAACCCGTCAGTCAAGGAAAACCTGCTCTCTTCAGCCCTCCACCACTGAAAAGGATGCCTGGAACATCACTGGGCTCTGGATACTGGTGAAAAACACATGCCTCGCTAGTCAAAGGGAAATAGTTCACCCTTGGATGCCCTGGCAGCCGTTCTTTTGAGGGAAATCTTAATCTCCCACTTCAGCACCTAAAGCAAAAAAACTGCTGGCAATAGGGTCTCAATGTAGAAGCTCCCCTAAGTGGCCGAGTCCACTGCACCCATGTTCCTGCTAAGCTGAAACCGAGATGGGTGCCAGTGCTCAGCTGTCCAGCCTCGGCACCAGCTCTGCACAGCCACAGAGGTGGCCCTACTCAGTGTGCAGAACTCAAGGCCATTCTCACAGCAGCAGGATGCCACCCTGCAATACTGACCTCAGCCACGCCCCTCAGGGTCCCAGCAGCAGTCAGCTGGGCAGAAACTTCAGGACGGACCTGTAGGTCTTAGTTCATCTACTACCTACCATTAGGACCCACTCAAAGCAACTTCAACCAATTGGCTAGTCTTTGCTGTCATCACCAATAGTCAGAAAAAATAGAGATGGGCAAAAGACAACCCGCCACCTTACTGGAGATATTCAGTGGCCACTCCCCACCACTTGCAACCCAAAGATGCACAGAGCATTTCTGGTCAGTTTTATAGCCAACATTCCATTGGTCTGGGTGAGTCACATGGGTACAGTCATCAAATGGCTGCAGCCTTGGATGCCATACCTGGCATACCCCAGGTGCCCAGGCATCAGAAGCAGAATGTGGAGAACTAGGGAACAAATAACTCAGTGTCTTTAATAAATACACTGGAAGCCAAAAGAAAAAGGAGAACATACAAGATTAGGAGAGACTTGAAACACATATCTATATGCAATGTGGACCTGTTATGGACTTTGATTCAAACAAACCAAATGTAACACTTGAGACAGGGCATTTTGTACACTGACTAGATATTTGATGATGTTAAAGAATTAATTTTTTTGGTATAATATTGTATTTATGATTATTTAAAGAGTTATTACCTTTTAGAGATATATACTGAAATATGAATTGATATATTTGGTATTTCAAAATAATTGATAAAACAAGGTATATACTTTGATGATCATTGTAGGTGGGTGATGGATACATAGGGGTCATTGTACTATTTTCTCTACTTTTGTATGTTTGAAAGTTCCCATAATAAAAAGTGAAAAAAATTTAAGTTCTTGTACAAAACTATGCAGCAAAGAGGCTCATAGCATTATGATTGGGGACGATTCATACACATTGCAAGCAAAATAACTTGTTGCCTTAAAAAAAATACTACCATAATGTAATTAAGGAGAAAAATGCAAATGATGAATTCTACAAAATTACACACATCTGGTAGCTACAATTTCCACATTCAATACATCATTTCCAAGATAAATTAAAAGGCAAATATTTTAAAAGGAAGGCCTTAAAAACATACATTTTGCAAGGAATCACTTGCAAGTTTAAGAAATAGCTCCAAGTTTTCTGCATTCTCAGAACTCATACTCTCCAATTCTTTGGATCAGTCTCTTTTCCAGACACCTTTGTATGAGGTCATTATTCATACATTCAACAAATACTGAGTACCTGCTAAGTGTAGGCCCCACGGGTACCATGTTGAACACCAAGCCGTGCCCTTCAGAAGTGGCTTTTCTAAATGGGGTTGCAGACATGGTATCAGGCCGTTCCAGCAAAATGTGCTAAGATTCTAAGCGTGTGCGTATCTATAAACTTTTATTTTAAAGAATAATTCTAAGAGTTAGGGTCATCATGAGACAGTGGATTACATTTGATGATGGAACTAATTTATTTCACAGGTGCTACTGCCACCATTCTGAATTCTGAATACCTGGAATGCTACCTCTTTAAAACTCTGGTTCAAATGTTACATATTTTATACTAACTGGATAAAGAAATAGAATTGGCACAGAGGAGCTATGACTACCCCTAATGTTTTGACAAGTACAGAATACTTCACATTCCAAAGTTTAAAACCTTTTGTATGAAATAAAAATCCAAGAGCTTCGTCCTTGTCCCACCTGAAGTCATTTAGTTTACCATTAATAAACCCTTTGGGAACAGCCATGAGGTGCATTATCCTGTATGGTGCAAAACGCCTGTGGATAATATCTTAATGCTCCTCCATAATTCATTAAGTCTGACCATCCAACGAACGATCTATTGGTTGATTTTCCTAAAGACCTTTTCACCAAACACAATACTTTCAGCTCAGCATGTATACCTTCAGCACAAGCTCATTCTTTATTCATGTTTTTTAATTATAGTGCTCATGCTGCCATTTTTGTCAGGATAATTATAGAAGCTATAAATACCTCTTTCTGTAATATAAAACCAACTAAAAAAGAAAGTAGACACCAAGATACCAATATCTTTCATGCTTAAAGGCAAATGTATTCAGTTCCTTTCCATGCAGCATCTAATCAAGTATCTATCTATGTGCTCGTTACTTCTTTTCCAAATCAAGTTTGGGACCTTTGAGATTGCATTCATCCTCCATGGTGCGCCATCTTGCACGATGTTCTGGTAAGTATCTGATGTAGGGGGAAAGGAACATTCTTGCTGACCTACAATTACTCAATAGGGAGTGTTCTGGCAGGAGAGTTAATGTCTATTGTCTCTTCTATCGTGGTCAAGGTCACAGTAGGGCAGTATCAACTTGTACCAAGAGATGCCTAGATACGCCACAGCAGGGAGGAAGGCACAGGAGAAAAGGAGCGGGAGTAGGCTCGATGTCCTATGATGGAGTGAAGAGGCTGCTAGCTGGAAAAACCAGGAATAATGGAAGTATCCTCCTTAGGATGCCATGCCGAGCAGAAAGCCTCCGAAAAATCCACCAGTCACTAGAACATTCTTCTTCACAAATGACACTACCTAGGAACAGAAGATATCACAATGGTTATTCTGCTAAGGGGATGCTATTATTAGAAATCATCTCTATTACCTATGCAATCTTGACAATGTCAATCCCCTCACCTGTTGAGTAGTTTGCACTTTACCCACAGGGCACTGGAAGCCAGAAACAGACCTTCATTTGAAAATGACCACTGTCTGCTGTGGGGAGGCTAAGACTACAGGGAGCTCGACGGGAAGCAGGACACAGATCAGGAGGTGACACGATGGATCTTTGGATCCAGGTGGTGGTAGGGGTGCTAGTGCACAGTGACCAAATTCAAGAGATGTTTTTGAGACAGGACTTTGTGAACGGGCCATATGGGGGATGAGGAGGAGACGTCAAGGGCAACTCAATGGATTCCGTCTTTAGTAACAGAGCTAAGAAACCCGTCCCCAAGTTCACACAGGGACAGGGAAGAGGAGAGTTCATGGGGCAGTGCTGGAGAAAGAGTAAAACTGCACGCAGTAAACTGGTTACAGAGGCAAGTCCCCATTTTCCACTTCACTCCTTCCGTTTCCTTCAATATCTCCTCCTCTCCAGCGACGGCTGCTCTGAAGCCTCTCCTCCAGAATTTCTCCATGCGTTCATTCTATCCACCGTGTGTCTGTCCATCTAGCCATTTCCCAAAGTCCCACCTCCTGCAAATGCCCCCGCCCATCTGAGGCTGCGAGAATACACTTGGCACCCTCTCGCGCCCACGTCTGTGCTCTATGATCTCCATTCAGAGAGAACTTTGGTAAGTGGGTCAGACTCCCTCTTTCTCCCAATACAACCACCACCTTAGCGAGTGTGCAGAGGGATGACACATCCAGGATCCCGGCCCAATCATTTCTTGAATTGAAGTCTAATGACTTCACCACCCAACTACTTAAAGTCACTCACATCCTGACCTTCCCCACTTAATCTATCCTCCTGGGACCCTCTAGCCTCCTCACTCCTACTAGGCCTATATCTTCCTGTGTCACTTTCACTTCCCCGACTCGACTGGACCCATTTCTCTATTAGAGGCATTGTCTCTTGCCATCTGCCATCAGAGGGAATGAAAAAAATCATAGGACTTCCTGACACCATTGCTTTCATTCATTATCTTCACTTTCTTATTTCCTACTCATTCTTCAAGTTGCTCTATTTGGGCTTTGAACTCCACCACCCCATTAAAACTGTCATCACTTAAATCATTGATGACTTCCTTGTCACTAGATACTGAGCTTATCATCTCCATTCCCTGCTTCCCAAATAAAACCATGGGCTGTGAGGAGGGAACCAGCCACTATCCACAAGGCATGTGACAGTCCCAGGCCATAAAGAACAATACAAAAATGTATGGAATAAAGGAATAAACAAATTCCAAACCCTTTGGTTAGTTTATAATAAGTTCCCTTTGGGAGTCAACACTTGGTTCTAATCAAACATTAACCTTATACTTTTTGTTATATAGACTTCCTGTATCATTGAAGACGTTTCCAGCAATCATGTATTGCTTTTAAAAATGTATGAATAATAAAATTTAGGCAAAATGAAAAAGTGTAACTTTCATAACCTTAAGCTTGAAAAGGAGGGATGGAAGGAGGGAAGGAAGGGGGAGGGACTATCTGTGCTCCTGGGCCCCTAGATGCCACTTTCCACTCTGGGCAAAGGACCAGCTTTGGCCAGCCTCTCGCCACCGTCCAGTATTTTTCCAGTCTGCTAAGTCATGTACGCCTCATCTGCTTCCCAACTGCCCCAAATTTGCTGATATTAGTTGTCTCCTGGGATGCCTCTGCTGTTCTCTTAGTTCTTGTGGATTTACCCTTTTTCATTTTGTTACTGTCACTTAGAAATATTTCAGAAGGAAGCCGAGATAAATGCATGTGTCTAATCTGCCACACTTCATCTCAGTCCACCTACCGCCCAGCCCCTATTCTATTTGATTATGTGACTTTCTCCTGTCACTGCTACTGAGTGTGAGTCCCTCAAGGACAAAACCTATATCAGTGTATCTCTAAGTCCCTCCTCTGCTCTCAGTCTGGCCCTTTGCTCCGTGAATCCAGACTCCATTGCTCTGGGCTATGCACGGTGCCAGGCAGCTGCTATAGTACCTTCTTAATACCTTGATCCTGGTTTATTTCTCTCCAGTCCAGTGCACTCATTTCTTTGGGACATTTGACATACTTCTAAAGGTAATAAAGCAGTCACAAAATACATCCTTTTAAAAAGGAAAAAAGTTTCCTGCTCCTCCACTGCCAGCCAGTATCATCTAACCTGATTTCATGTATTAGCTCCAGGATTGGCAAACTGTAGCACCCGGGCCAAATCCAGCCGCTGCCTGTTCTTAAAGTTCCATTACAACACAGCTGCGCCCACGTATCTGCATATCATCGCTGGTTATTTTCATGCTACGCAGTGGAGTTCAGTAGTTGTGACAGATACCACGTGGTTTGCAAAGCTAAATATATATCCCACTTGGCCCTTTACAAAAAAGGCTGCTAACTCCTGGGCTACACATTCTATTAGTTTTGTGTAGAACAAGTGAAGTATGGGCATTTCGGAGATGTGTGTGCACGGAGACAAATGGTCAGAGTGGCTATCCAATCTACATCCTTATCACTGCCCACAGCCCTACGAGAACTAGTTCATGGGATAACTGACCCACATACGAGTACGTGCATGGACCACTCTTGCACTGTCACTCACTGATGAAACTCCCCGAACACTTCAATGACCCAGCTTTAAAAAATGCCTCTGATGTGAAACTATTCCACCCCAGGCTGACACACTGGTGTGTGCAGCCCCATTTGTGTATACACGAAACTGCCCACGCCCTTCGCAGCTTACCTCCTCAGCTTTGCTTCTCATCTCCGTGGAGATCTGGTTGCTCTTACGGATCTTCAGCTGTTCTTTGGCTTTTTTCATGTCTTTCTCTACGCGTTGCCAGTCAACTTTGATGTAGCCAGTGTGGTTTGCAAGCTATCGTTTCAACAATGGCAGCAAGAAAGAAGAAACACAGGTTTGTTATTTCTTTTTGTCAGGGTAAATCCCTGAAGTACATGAGCAACAATCCCTCTGACTTCCCATTTTGGGGGACATCGGCCATCCAGCTCTTTCCATGACAATGACATTCGCTCAGCATCTACTCAGCACCCACCCTACATGCAAGGCCCAATGTCTGGCGCCAGAAATCAATAGAATGCGCGTCCATGGCTGCTGGCAGTTCCTTTACTTTAGCTATACTCTTACCCTCTCTAAAAGGTTTTAAGTTAGCTTAAAAATCAAATGGTAAAATCGGAATAAGAAGTCAAGATGTAAGGTGAAGAAATGAACTTTACAGCCAACATAAGTCTGAGTTTCTTGACGAAGTGAACAGAACAAGGCCGTCAGATAGTGATTACTGTTGCTCAAAAAATCTTCTAGCACATGGCCTGACAGAGACGTCTCACAAGTGACTTCATATAAGGGGTACTGGGAGAAACACGCCCGAATGTGCCATCCAGAATACGCCTACTTCCCTTGGAAAAGACAGTAAACATTAAAACTTGGTGAAAACAATCTCATTGAGAATGTGAACTGGATAAAAATGATTCAAGTATGCACTTTTCTGATGCATTAGTGTCATCCAAGGAACGCAGAGACAGATGACAGCCCATCAATCAATCTTCCATCAATAGCACTACTCTCCATCAAATTTTTCATGTCCTGTCTATCTGAATATCTCAAAGTACCTGAAACTGAAACTCTTCTCCCTGCTACAGTATCCTGCACTGTTGCTCTTCCTCTAGTTTCTATTTTAGTGAATGGCACCTCCAACTAGTAAGTTTCCCAGACAAGACTGGAGTAACTATTTGCAATGTATATATAATAAACAAAACATTAATAATCATAAAAAATGGGAACTTCTAGAGATAAGTAAGAAAAAAAACACTTGAAAATGAGCAAAGGCAACTGACAGAAGAAAGTGGTCAATAAAAGGAAAAGTTCAACTTCACAAGTAATCCAGGAAATTCCAATTCAAATTAGACTTATAGCAGCAACATAGTTCAGTGGCAAAAAGTGTACGCTAAAGGAAGGTTCCAGTTCCTTGACTCCACCCTGTTTCTCCCACAGGACAGAATAAATGGAACAGCGACTTCAGGCTATGACAAGGTAAGGGCAGCTGACTGGGGAAACCCAGACCTGTGTGTGTCCTGTTTGTCCTCCAATATCACCTGGCCTAAACTCAAGGCAGGACTCAAAAGCATTTGACAAAATTCAACACACATTCATAAAAAGTCTAAGAAAATCAACTGGAGGAGGAATACTTACTCCTCAACTTGATAAAGAGCATCTTCAAAAAAACCTACAGTTAATGCTGTACTTAGTGAAAGACGATTTTCACCTAATGTTACAAACAAGGTAAAGATGTCTACACTCTCCACTGCTATTCAACATCATACCAGACATGGAGCTGTACTTAGTGTAATAAGGCAAGAAAAGGCCAGAAGAGACTTCCAGATCAGAAAGGAAGAAGCAAAACTGTCGCCATTTATACACATTTGTCTACATAATTTCAAGGAATCCAACATGTTAAAACAAACAAAAATTTCTACATCTAGAAAGTGAATTTAGGAAGGCAGCAGAATACAAGATCAACACACAAAAAACTATTGTATGTCTATATGCTAGCAAATTAAAGAACTAAAAATGGAAATAAAATTTATGATTTATTTATTTATTGATTGATTGATTTTTAAGCTGAGCCATCCTGCCACCTGTTGGCAGCTCAGCGGCTGCTCAGCTCAGGCCGGGAATCGAACCGCTGTTGCTCAGAGCTCAAACTCTTGAGCAGGCTCTTAATCAACTGAGCCACTCAGCCGGCCCTAAAATTTATTATTTAAAATAGATGCAAAATAATTAACTACTAAGTATAAATGTAAGCAACAATCATACAGGGTCTGTATGCTGAAAACTACAAAATGCTGAAGAATTCAAAGATGACCCAAATAAGTGTAGGGACAGGCCGTTTATATGGCATGAACATCTGACATAGAAATGACCTCCACTGTTCCCCAAATTGAGCTACAGAGTTATCAGGACCCCCATCCCAGCAGGATGTTTTATAGATGTATAACCAAGCTAGGTCTAAAATGTGTATGGAAAGGAAAGAAACTAGAAAAGTCAAATGATTTTTTAAAAAGAACAGAGTTGGAGGACTCACACTACCCGATTTTAAGAGTGACTGTAAGGAGCATTTTCTCAATCCGTTGAGACTTTGCTTCCTGGCAATTGTCATCAGTTTGGCTCAAATAAACTCTTATAAGCTTTCTCTTTAAAAAAAAAAAAGATTGACTATAACGCTACAGCAATCAAGACAGTGTGGTATTGGAGAAAGGACGGACACACAGATTAATGGGCCAGAATAAAATGTATAGAAAAAGACAAACCAATTTAAAAATGGGCAAAAGACCTAAATAGGCACGCTACTGAAAAGGATGAAAAGATGTTCCACATCATTAGCTGTGTCATTCTCTATCCATCTGTTGGGAGACACCCTCAGGGCTGAGGGCGAGTTCTCAAGGAAAGCCACAAGAGCAACTAAAGCTATGAGGAACCTAGGAACAGAATACAGAACAGGTGTACGAGATCTATATGGAAAAATAATAGAAGTCTAGGAAAGACATTAAAATAAATGGAGTGGAAACCCATGTTCACAGATACATGACTCCATATCATAAAAGATATTAATTCTTCCCAAATTTCTCTACATGGTTCCCAGGCAATTCCAATCAAAATTTCACCAGGATTTCTGAAAGTAACCGACAAGCCTGTTCTAAAATGCAGATGGACAAGCAATAGTACCAAGCACCCCTGAGGAGCATGTGGGAGAACCTGTCTTACCAACTACCAAGGCTGAGCAAAGGGGGACAGTCAGCCAGTGCGACAGAACAGAGGAATTCTTATCAGATCCACACACATGCGGGTGATAGAGGCAGCGCTTCAAATACTGGGGAAAGGAAGCCTGGTTCACGAAATGCTACTGGGACAGTTATCAGTGTGAGAGAAAGGAAACTAGATCCCTAACCGCTGATCGCCCACCATCATGCCTACTCTGGCGACAGCTGATATGTGGGCACCGCACAGATGCCAGTGTCCCACATCCCCTAGCGAGGAGGCATCGCTGCCCTCCTGGGGTACCCCCAGAGTCCCATGTTCAGTCTTAGCTGGAGACACTTCCAATACCACTTAGTTCTGGCAGTCAGGGCCCCCCCCGAACAGAGGGTATGCCCACATTAGGACATTTGAAAGTGGGCATAAGATGTCTGCAAAGTTGGGGCAGGGTGTAGGGGGAACCTCGGGGACAGAGCAGGGCTGGAGGTCATGCAGCAACAGAGCTGTCACTGCACTTCTGCCTGAGGGGTGACAGGAAGAAAGATTACTGTAACCCAGAGACAGAAAGGCATGAGGAAGGGGCAGCCTTGCAGGGGGCCTCACCTGTCCAGTAACAGAGCTGGCCCCTGACAAGCCCACAGGGAGGGAGCCAGGAACCTACATATTGAATTGAGGTTTGGGGGAGGCTGCTGGTAAGTTCCCAGTATCCAGCAGAAGGCTGCAGGGTGATGCTGTGACACTAGGGCAGACAAGGAGATGCAACTGTCACCATGAATACTTGTGCTTGGAGCCCTGAGGTCACAGTGGTGTGACTACCCTAAACTCCCCCATGCAGAAGGACCAAGTGGAGGAGTTCTGAGACACTGGGGAGAGAGGAAGGAAGGGGTAAAGGGAGGGAGAGAGGGAGGGACGGAGCGGGAAGCCAGGGAGACCCAGTCAGCCCTCTACTCATCCAGCTCCAGCCACCTCCTGCTTGTAACCACATGAGACTCCAGGCCACAGGAGTCCATCTTAACCCAGCAAAATTCCTGACCCACAGAAACTGTGGGTGAGAATAAAGTGAGGAGAGTTTTAAGCGTTAGGTGTTGGGGGCCTCATTGTGCAATACTGTATCCAATCTGCACTGGCCCCGGCCAGCAGTCACCAGCCTCCGTCTTCTGCACTTTTCCCCTGACCAATACAGGAAACTCACTCCGTGCTTCCAAGGTAGAACTTACCTGGCTAAAAAGAGGGAGGCCAACTGTGTGGGGAGACAAGGGGCCGCGAACTCAGACACCCTGGCACAATTCAACAAAGTATGGCTTCTACCGAGCCGCGGCTCTCAAACTTAGTTGCACTTGGAATCATGTCAGGGGTTAAAAAACACATAATGCCTTGGTTTTCAAGCATAATTCATTCCAGAAACAAACTACTCATACTGCAAGACATCTAATACAATGTGTTAGAAATGTTTGCTCGTCTTGTGGAACACTCGCAAACCACGTTACTCACAATCCAAAGTTTTACTGTATTCTGATATGCAAGCATGCCTCCCACCTATGAAACGTGACAGGGGTAGGCAGAGGCCCTGAGCAGCAGTGGTTTTTAAAACTCCCAGGTGATTCCATGTGGAGTCAAGTCTACACATCAGTGCCACAGAGCAGCCCTAGAGAACCAGCACTCACTGGGCCTGAAATAAAGTCCAGGCCAAAGAGACAGCACAGGACATCTGTCATTTAGCCTCATTTCTCATCGACTGCCCTGGGGTCAATGGGCCCTTTGTAAGAGCTCGCTATATTGTTGTATAAGAAAAAATCATATCAGAGGGCACTTGCATCACACTTTGTACTTTTGAAATCACATTTGCTAAATATTTCAACTGGTCTTAAAAACCCTGTGAAGGCTCTATGATAAGGAATATGTACTTATGTCCCCATGTTATACATGATAAAATAAAATGCAACTGGTAATTGATGCAGTTTGACTCAAATGCTCACTCGCATTTCAAGTAGTACATGGAAACCAGTGCAGAGGCTATTCTAGTATAACACAGTCAGGGTTATGTTACAGCCCCTCACAGCATATCCCTAACGGGCCGGCAAGCGGAGTTTTGTCGCCTTGCAGCTGCCAACTTGAATGCTCCTGAGCACGGATCCTTTGAAGTCATAAGGAAGTGTCTTGGAATGCTGAGATCAGAGGGAATGATCTCAGTAAAACTTCCTTATCTGGTAGGAATGCTGAGACCATCCCAAGGATCATACACATGTGTGAAAGTTTCGGTGAGGCAGCTGCAGGTCTTATCGAATCAATTAACTGGGTATAGATATTCAAATTGACCTCTTAGTGACAGTTGCTCACTCTCTCAATCTGCATGGTCTTATCGAATCAATCAACTGGGTATTGATATTCAAATTGACCTCTTAGTGACAGTTGCTCACTCTCTCAGTCTGCATGGTCTTATCGAATCAATCAACTGGGTATTGATATTCAAATTGACCTCTTTGTGACAGTTGGCTCACTCTCTCTGTCTGCAGAGACTAGACCCCTGGCCCGCAGAAACTCTACTTTTGACTCGTGATTTCTTAACCCTTTGCAGCCCCTCCTCGAGCCCCCCAGCCCTTGTCACGTGGGATGTGATCGAGTTTCCCAAAATCTAGGAATATTTCACATACAGACCTGAAGGAGAAAAAATCCGCCGCCCACAGCTGTTGCAGCCAACTTTCCAACCTTCTGGAATATGAAACCCGTGCACCTACAAAATCCAAACCAACATCAGATAAGTGACAGGCTGTCGGTACACAGAAACAGTTGTGAGATATGTATATTATTCAGCCCAGACAAAATGAGGAAATCCTACCATTTGCAACAACAGGGTTGGAGCCAGAAGGCTATTATGCTAAGGGAGATAAGTCAGAGAAAGACAAATACTGCATGATCTCATTCACATGTGGAATCTAATTAAAACAAATCTCCTAGAAAAAGGGATCAGGGGAGGGGGAATCGGAGGAAGGTAGCCAAAAGGTTCAAACTTGCAGTTATAAGACAAATAAGTCCTGGGGATGTCACATACAGCATGGTGACTGCAGCTAACACTGCTGGATGATATACAAAACAGCTGTTAAGATTGCAAATCCTAAGTGTTCACATCACAAGGAGAATTTTTTTTCCTTTCTATTGTATCTATATGAGATGATGGATGTTAACCAAACCTACTGTAGTGGTCATTTCACAATATATGTAAGTCAAACCATCATGCTGTACCCCTAAATTTATACAGTGATATACATCAATTATTTCTCAGTATAACGGGGAAAAATGAGGATAATAACAGTACCAATTTCAGAGCTGCTGTCAGAAGGAAATGAGGTATCTATAGAAATACTTCAAATAGTATGTGGCAAGCAGTAAATACTATGTATGAGCATTAAGTAGCATTTTAACGTGATGTTTAGATAAATGCTACACATCATGTGATCTATTTCACAGAAGTCAATGTGTTTCTACAGGTTAAAGGAGATGATTCCTAGAACCACAGTACTAAATCATGCAAAAAAAAAAAGACCCTGACCATCTTCACAGCACTTACCATCCTGTGACGCCTCCAATTAACAACTGGGTGGCCACGCTATACTTCTCCACTGACGGTCCAGATTCCTGCCCAAACAGTTTGCGCCACCATGGCTGCTTTTTAGCAAATTCTGCAAGGTCCAGTGGCTCAAAACTTCCCTCGAAGCTTCCTACAAGAATTAAGATACTGCATAAGAAAAGAGTTACTTTTACGAACAATCACTATTATTCCTAATGAGATCAAGAGATTTTTAATTAAACAGCTGTAATAAGAACCTCCAAATATTATTCAAATGTTAGAATTAACTCTGAAATGCTGACTAGCAATTTTTGAAAAATCAGACTAAAGTCAACAAATGTTTCTTAGAGACAAAAAAAGCACACAATTGAGACTCAGTAGTCTTTCCCCTCAAATTTGAAAACAACCAAAAGGACCTAGGAAAAACTGTAATACCTAAGAATGCATCCTAAATGAAATGGATTTTCTCCATTTGCCTCTCTTTTACAGAAGTAACTCAATACTATTCGATGGCCCACAAATTCACCAATTCTGTCCTATGTGGATTTCCAGTGAAAATAAGACGTAATGTTTCATCAAGCTCTTACTATATACCATGTGCTAAGCAATAAACATGTATATCTAACTAAAGCCATGCAACAAGTAGGTACAATACAAGATACTATTCATTAACCCCATTTTATAACTAAGAAATGGAGGCTCACAAGTTAAGTGATTTACCCAGAAGGGAAAAAGAGTTAATAAAATGTCTAATCCCTTTCTCTGTGGGAAGATAACGTAGGGATAAATTTAATGAAAGATGTGTAAGACCTCTATACTGTATATGACAAAATACAGCCGAGAGGAATTGAAGGATTACCTGATTCATGGAGATATATATACTATGTTTTGCGACACTCAATATTTTTATGATGTTCATTCTCTCCATATTGATCTATAGACTCAATGTAATCCCAATCAAAAAGCAGGTTTTTTTCTACAAATTGACAAGCTGCTTCTACAATTTATATGGAGATGCAAAAGGCCTATAATATATTGTTCCAGTTACTATGGCTACACAACAAATTACCCCCCCAAAACTTTATAGAGCAAAACAATCATTTATTATGCTGTCAGACTCTGTGGGTCAGGGATTTAGACACAATAAGCATTACAGCACATCTGTTTCATGATGCCCAAGGCTTTAACTAGAAGACATACAATTATAGGCAGGGGTCTGGAAGCACCTACTACATACAGTCCCACACACATGCTGCCCCTCTATGTGGGTTAGTTTGGGCTTCCTTAAAGCCTGGTGGCTAGGTTCAAGGTGCTGCCTATCCCAAGGGAGACAGTGAGAGAGCAAGGGAGCTCGAGGGCTAGGCAGAAGCTATGCTACCATTAAAGACCTAGCCTCAGAAGCCATGCAGTATTACTTCCACCACATTCCATTGGAGTCATCACAAACTCCCACTCAGGTGCAAGAGTACGTCACTCCGTGTAAGGAGCGTCGAAGTCACACTGAAAAAAGAGCATGTGCATTGGAAGATAGCGCTGCAATCATTTAGAAAAATATTGGGTTGTCGGAAACGTCATGACGTATTTTTTTCTGTTTTCCGTTGCAAAAACGTGTCATGACTTTTGCAACAACCCGATACAATATGCCACAAGTGGCGAAAGCAATGTTGGATAAAAAAGAATAAAGTTCAAGGAATATCAAGGCTTCTTATGAAGATACAGTATAATACAGCTACCTCATTTCCAGACTTACAAAGCCACCATATTCTACACAGTGTAGAACTATCCTAAGGATACACAGATATAGTCATTTGATTTTGAAAACATGGCACCAAGGTAATCAATGGGGAAAGAAAGTCTTTTAGACAAATTGTGTTAGAACTATTAGGTGTCTATAAAAACAAAAACCTCAATCCCTACCTTATATCATCACAAAATATAACTCAATAATTAATTCAAGATAGATTATCGAGCCAAATTTAGCAGAACCAAAATAGGGATGTTTGAGGAACTGGGCCTTCTCTGGCTTCACAAGTAGTTAAACGAAATATTTTTTCCAAAATAAATAAACATTACTGCTATGTTGAAGAAGAAACTCTCTCCCTGGGTTAAATAATATCACTGAAAACAAGAATGAGTTTTGAGTTTTGCTTTAATGTAATTTTACCAAGCCCGTTAGTTCAAAAGGGGGATCCAGTAAAAAGGGGGATCAAATTAGAGATCATCAGCTCACACAACTTCATTCAGTCATTCAACAAACATTGTTAAGCACTATATAGGCAAAAGTACTCACTACCCTTCCTTATGAGTCCAGGAAATCAATGATCACAGTATTATGTGACCATCACTCTGATAAAGATTGGAATTCATGACTTAAACCTCAAAATTTCTTGCAACAGTGTCCTCGGTGCAAATATTTGATCAGCCTACACATTTTAAGGGAATGAAGGCAGTCTGCACTGCAGGAAAAGAATTCTATTGTGCATTCCAACACCTCCGTCACCTACATTCAGTTGTGTGCTGGTAAATGTTTCACCAGTTTTGGGGGAGAGCTGATTTGTAGCATATGCCAATTTCAATGGTGTGTTCACTCATGGTGAGAGTGACATCACTGAATTGTGACATCATTAAACAGAGTTGGGAAAAGATGCACAGTAGCACTCCATACTATGTTATTTCCCCCACATAGACACATCAAACGCAAATAACCTCAAGAACCTAGATAATAGTAAAACATGGCAAATCATAAAGAAAGTGATGAGTTTTGAGTTTTTTCAATGCCTTTGTTTTTAACATAAAGTGTGCAATTTTAAGTTTCTATAACTGAATTTTCGATGATAGCTCTGTTTAGCAATTGGATATTGTAAGCAAGTACTGAATTGAATATAACCATGAAGCATTCGAAGTAGGTTAAAAGGCACGACTAACAGACGTGCCCCACTGCGTATTACATTACCGGAGAGCTTCCCTTGACTAAAGAGTCTTTTATAAGACTCTTTCAAAGTACCATCACTAGTCTTTGAAAACCATCAGTAATGCAAGGGGAGGCGCCTTGCACACAGACGGACACTTGCCAGATGTTTGAGAAGATCATCCAAAGGGATAAAGAAGGCGGCTTAGTCTCAAAAGTTCCAGAACGCTTCCGAGAACAGGGACGGAATGTCTCCGGGATTAGGCAGTTGGGGATGGGGGTGGCGCCGGAAGGTTGAGTGAGCCCAACAGGAGACAACACCATGGGGCAGTTCGGCCCCAGCCTGGCGCCTGACCTTGGCCGGACCCTGGGAGCGGCTGGGCCAGGGGCGAGCCCCTGGGGCACTCCCCGCTGCCGCGCCACTTGGGCTCCATGGGGACCTCTGCCGGGACTGGCTGGCGCGGAGCCCTTCCCCTTCCGCAGCCCAGGAAGGCGGCTCCCCGCGACGCCTGCGGCGCGCGCGCCCGTCCTTACCTTGACTGGACGCGGCCATTTCGCAGAGGTTGTCTCGAGATGACGTCCGCAGGAGATCGCTACGGTAGGGCACGGTGTGGCGCACTGTCGTAGGCGCAAGCTGGCTTCCGGCACGTGGGTTAGATGTTTCCATTCCCACGGCGTGGAAGTGGGCGGGCTGGGCGCAAGGCGGCCACTCCCCAACCCCGCAGGCGGCTGCGTCACAAGGCACAGTGGACCGAGTCACCAGCTCCGCAGCCCCTCTCTGCAGACATGCCCAGGCGCGCATGCGCAGAAAGCCTCGCCCGGCGGAGCATCTCCGCGGTACACGGGAGGGCTTGGTGCTCACGTAGTAGGGCGTTTCTGGGCCGTGATCGTGACCCGGCCCTTCCCTAGTAAAAACTATTTTACCCATTACTTTACTAAAAATAAAGAAAGCCAGCTTGTCGTGTTTGTTCATGTAAACATTGAGCAAATAGTTATCAGTGCCTGGTACATTCACAACGCTGCTCTAGTGGAGGAAGACAGACATTTAAAAAAAACATTTAGACAATCACAGTAACTAAGAGAAGCGATCGGGAAAAAAAAGCTTCCTTGCCTGCGATGCCTCCAGAGCCCTTGTACCATATGCCAGGGCAATCTCCCCAGCCCACCCCTAAGCTACTCCTCTCGCTGTCACCCCATCCCAGTTAATGGCAACTTCACCGCTTCAAAAACCTTGGTGTCACTCCGAACTCCTCTCAAAGCCCACAAATCCAATTCATCAGCAAACCCCATAAACTCTACCTTCATGCCATTTCTCACTCCTCCAGTGCTACGGTTTGAGCGCAGGTCACAATCGTTTCTCAACCCCAGTGAGGTCGACCTGCTCCTAATTTTGTCCCCCTAAAGTATATTCTCTCCACCACAGCCAGAAAGATCAGCCTAAAAGGTAATTGCTATCGCGGCCCTCCTCTACTCAGAATCCTAATATGCCTCCCTATTTCCATCAGCGTAGAAGCCAAAGTCCCTTTGCTGAAATGTAACCTTCTCAGTGAGAATTTCCATACCCATCCTCATTTAAAATTGCAACCTGGTACACCCCTCATTCCCTTTCCCTTCTTACAGTTATCTCTTGAGATCCAGGTCCCTCATGTTACCCTGCTGAAGGTCCGGTTGCTCCTGCAGGAAAGTCAAAACTCAAAAGACGAGGTTGGTGGAAAGAAAAGCCGGTTTATTCAGAATGCTTGCATTCTGGGAGGATTGCGGACTCAGGTCCAAAGGCCACCCCATCCCCCATTTCCCACCCTCCCCCCAGCATGGCCAAAAGGTTTTATAGGTAGGTAAGGAGAGGCAGAAGAAAGGAAAGGGGAAGTTCCTGGAAAAAGTTGCTTCCAAGAGGCTGGTTTGTTTCAGGGATAGGAGTGAATCTAATGTGATGGAAAAACTTCTTTCAAGTCCAGGAGGTTTCCTTGAGGAACTAGGGCCATTGAACCTGGTATACATAGGGTCTGGAGTAAACAGAACCATTGAAATTGGTATGCATAGGGCTGGCCAAGTGGCACGTTGGTTAGAAGTTGGCTTGGGACACCAGCTCTGAGCAGCAGGACCACCGGTTCGGATCCCACATGAGGGCCAGTGACGCTCCGCCCTCTACAGCTAAGATGGTGAACAACAGCTCCACCTGGAGCTGGGCTGCCGTGAGTCGCCGGCGACGGTGTGGGCTGCAGTGGGGCTGGCCAGCAACTGGAGTGAGCTTTCGTGAGCGGCCATCCAATGGTCGGCAAGCGACTGTCTCACCCGGGAAGAGCGCAATGATAATACCAACATGGGCAAGTAAAGCGACGTCCTCCACAACTAGACTGAAGAACAAAAGGACTGCAACTTGTCTGTTCCCCTTCCCCGATTCCCCAATATAATCTTTAAAAAAAAAAAAGAAAGAAAGAAATTGGTATGTATAGTAACTATGGTAAACAGAGTCATTAAGGTTTAGCCAGAGGGAAGGGAAGCAAAGAAATACTTTCAAAAAGTCCCAAGCTGGGCCGGCCGAGTGGCGCGATGGTTAAGAACTGGCTTGGGACGCCAGAGGGCCCCGGTTCGGATCCCACATATGAGGGCCAGTGACGCTGCCCTC